AGACTTTGCACCTCCACTGCGGTGTCTTTGAGTTCAAACCCTCACTGGCGTCAGCATTCAGTTCTTGCCTGCACGTTGCACGCTACTCGAAACATCCCATGTCCACTCTTGGCGACAACGCATTCGAGGGGGGTCGCGCTGACGACCGCCCTCCGGGCGAACAGCCCGAAAACTTCAATTACGCCGGAGAGGGCGTCATCTCCGTCAACGGTGCTGCCGGCGACAACCCCGATGCTGGGGGTAACGCCGCTGGAGAGAGTGCTGGAGGCGTCGTCAACCCAGCTGCCACGGATGTCGACGAGGAGGAAGAAGACCACCACTCCGACGCCCGTTCCTCCGTCCCGTTGATTGAGGTCACTCCACTCCTGTCCGGTCCATCCAATATGGACTCCACCATTCGTCTTCTGCAGTCCCATGTGAATGAGCATTGTGCCAAGCTCGACCCCGGCGAAATCACGGAGCTCTCTGACCAAACCATGGCACTAATGGACAGACTGTACAACGCTGTCTCGTTGCCACGTCTGAGGATGGGCCTTGCCGGACTGTAAGAAGGTGTCATCCATTGAGTGGCCGTTTGCCAGTCAGCCATGAACTGTTGTTTGTCTGTGTCTCTGAATGCATCATTTCCGTTCGGCCACGATGCGTCAATGTTGCTTGGCACACTCAGGATCAGAAACAAAAATACGAGCGTTCGTCAATGTCCTTCGTGCGAAACCGCTCCCACGCCATGCATATACTCCCGTGCTAGCCATTTGTTGTGCAGGCCGCAGCCATGCTGTGCTTGGCAATGCACCTCGTCATTACTCCTCTGTCGTCTGTCATTTCGATCCTGACTAGTCCTCTGGTCATAATTCAACACCAGTAAATTTTTCCGGTACATGCTTTCCAAGTTAGAGGAGATCCTTCGAAATTGTGTCTTGAGGAGGTTGGATTAGCAGAGCCTGTGTTCCCTTTACTCTGTAGTTTTGATTGAGTGAGCGCTCTAACACCATCAAACCTGGGGGGTGATGTGGGTCACAACTCTACGAACCCGACCTACTACGACTTTCTCCGCAAATCCTACAACCGTGGAGAACGTTCCCTACGTTCTCCTCGGAGAGGTTGCCTCTCGGAGTGATGTCGACGTCGCCAACGCTCTGCGAGCCACGAGGAAGCGTGCAACGTTACGAGGGACCTAAAGCCGTCTTCCACGAGGCTTCCTTGGATCGTTGACCGTGACTTTTGTCCGAGAGGGATGCGAGGGCGTGCCCTCGCACACCTCGCACTCTTGACTTCCGTCCCCATCTCATGTCGAGATTCAGCCTCTTTGCCGAGCGTCACAGTCTGTCCGGTGATTGTATACACCGCTCCATATCTGTGACCGTTGCCTAAGTGTTTCGCCTGTTGATACAGCGTTGGAGATTCGCACCTCCCTGCGGTGCCTTTGAGTTCAAACCCTCGTGAAGAATTTTGAAAACAACCGGAAGAGGTCCAGAAATTGTACGACAGACACATAAGATCAGTCGGGAGGCATGGCGAACAACATAAATCGTTGATTCTCGCACAGGGCGGCAGTAGAGGCTGCTCAAAACGTACATTCCACGCGTCTACCTCCACAGGCCTCCTTTGAAAACGAGAATATGTTCACACTGTTCTAAATTCAAGTCAGAGAGCAAAAACGGAATGCGCTCAAATATGGTCAGTTTTGAGGGTTCAAGCGGCATCCAACATTTGTCACAGCCGTGCTCGCCGCCACCGAGCCCAATCTCCTGAACTACGGGTATAGCAGTAGCTGATGCCACTAGCTACAGCACATGACCCCGTTCAGTGGTTTACGGTCCGTGGCAATGAGCAAGGCCTTGACAAATGTTGGACGCCGCTTGGTTCAGGCGCAGATTTCGCAATTTTCAGCGGCTGCTGCGACCTTCGATATTTTCGCTCCAGTAGAAAACCTGAATGTGCCAGCACGCACGACGCCTCTTTGTGGTGTCCTCTACCGATGACAATAGAGTGCCTAACCTAGCCCTGGCGGGAAGGTTGGTTTCTTTCTTTGTGTAGGATTGAAGTATGGGAAAAGAGCAAGCGTCAAAACCCCTGTTCTTCTCCCCCTTTAAAGTTACCATGGATAATAAAGGGCGGCGAAGAGGGAGAGGGGCAGTGATACCTATCGGTAAGTACACCCAGCCAAACGCCACCTTAGCCTTAAGCATCATCTTTTTACGTCGAAATATTTGCCTCGAAAGTAGTGCTCTACGGCAGAGGATTTACGATCCCTGTTGGCCTTGATCGCCGACTCTGACCACTCTCCTCACCCTCTTTTTGTGTGGTGACATGCGATAACGCTGGCGATGACTGCCTGCTACTTAGAGATGCGACGTGTGTAAGCGCTGATTCCGTGCTCTGGTTGCGTTGTACGCATCAGCGGCTAACTGCTGTGTTGGGTGACACCCGACATGCTGCCCCCCTCGCTCCCCCACAGAGAACACGGAGCTGCGCTTGTGTCTTCGACCCCAATTAAGCTTATCTCCTGCCTCTCACCGTGCGACATGTTCGGCTTCAGTATCAACAACAAACATCATTTCTAACAGGGCCCCTTTCCCCCCCCCTTCGCCCGTGTGCTTCTCATTCTTTTGTCCCCCTAATCCCGAAACTCGTAACAATTAACCACTACTATTGATCTCTTCCGCTTCGGCGGAAGCAGTTGCGGCCGAGAACGGGAGGGTTTCCACCGGCGGCGGCGGCGGCGGCAATGGCGTACTCTCGAAGTGGCAGAAGAGATAGCAGCAGCGGCAGCAGCAGCACCAGGGGTAGGAGAACAGCCGTGGGGTCTAGCCGCGCGGAACCTTTATCGTCGTCGTCGGTGCTGGTGCCGGACATCACTACGGCGGCCGATGCGGAATTTAGCGAGCAGGGGCGGGTGCCGGCAAGTAGCGTGAGTGCTCTTTTATCTTATTTTCTTGAGAGTTGTGTTATGCCCGATCGCGTAGTAGTGGATGAGGAGGAAATTTTATCTTGCTTGTTGTGTGACCACACGAATCCCTGAGATGGTGGGGAGGGTTGGCGTCGAGATAAGCTCACTCGGTACTGTAGGGAGAGCAGGAAATACTCGCGGGGGTTAAGAAGTACACGATGGCTCTTGTTTTCATCGGTTGTGGCAGAAAGAAGGGACTGCAAGCGCCACAAGAGCAACACATTCTGAACATCGAGAAATCAAGATCGTATCGGCACGCCCGCTTGTCACGCCAACTAGCTGGCCCCCTCTTCAAGACCTCCTTGTGTGTCGCAACTAGCCCAACCGTGAAGGCTTCCTGTGTCGGCACGAGAATGTGAGCGGTCTTCATGGCCTCGTCGCCCCCCCCCCCCCCCCCCCCCCCCCCCCCCCCCCCCCCCCCCCCCCCCCCCCCCCCCCCCCCCCCNTGATCTAAGCATGGGAAGCGATCCTTATTTTCATTTGGCTGAAGTATGCACATTTTGTGGCAAGTACGTATTGTAACGAACGGTGTAGGCCGGCGTCCAAGAACAGATGGGACGAACAAGCTAACAACACGCTGTCCTCCGACCGTACGGCAAGAGTGGCGTGTGTAGGGCAGAAAATCTCAGCAGCCTTCCCAGTTTTTTTGTATCAACGCCTTTGGGTCTAGCTCTTTTATTATTTTGCGACAAAAACAAAAAAACGAGGGGAGAGTGCGGGAGAGAGAGACAGAAGTACAGCAGAGAAGTCGAGTGCACTTCTGTAAACCTTACAGCTATCTCCACCCAAAGACCGTGAGGACTGCCCGCGACAGGAAGGTGGGCACAGACAGGGTCATAGAAGGGTTGATGTGTGGTCGCGGTGCGGCCGCTAGGGCAGGATAGGCTTGTAGACCTCGAAAAGATCAGTCAAGCCGCCTAAACTACTCTTTTTTCAGTATATTAAAATGATGAATGAGAATGCATCAGTGAGAGAGAGGGCTTGTAAACCCATACCTGGTTCTTGTACTTCTGTACTTCTCTGTCCCCTCCCCAATGTGAGCCCTGCCGGCTCACTACAGCTCCTGTGATTTTCCCACAATTCCCACAGGCACGCAAGCACACCAGCACACACCTACCTTTGCATGAGTGGCTCTCTAGGTTCGGGCGAGGGTATGTGTGGCGTATGATGATAGTGTATGTGTGTTGGACTCGTCTATACTGCTGCTGCTATGCAGTGTAGCTGCTGACATGATGACTGCCGGATCTTGGGAGTGTACGATTTTCAATATAGGAGGATATGCAGCGACCCACGATCATATCCTGGCCTGGTTGGGCTTGAAGTGCCCCTTGTCGCTGTCCTCCTGCCTTTGCGTAAGTGGCTTCTTAGATTCGGGCGAAGGCATGTATGTGGAGCTATTGATGTGTGTCTCTGTGAAAGGATATGGGGAGAGATTCATGGTGGCGTTCGCATTTATTTAGAGCAGTGTGCATTTTTTTAATTTTGGCCGTTCCAGGGACGTTGATATTTTCCCGCTTACCCGCTGGCACTGTAACGTCTTTTCATTGGTCACCGGGTACGCGGTCGATGCGAATATATATATATATATATAGACACACCTACCTATTGACTTGCCAACGCCTGGCGTGGAGGGATAGAGGGCGGCAACTCCATGGCATGCCACAACATCGGCAACTGCAAATGACCAATCAATCAATGATCTGTCAGGACGCCTGTAGACCCAAAAGGGTTGAGGAAACATGTTGGATAAAGCATACAGTCGGGGAAGTTGGGTGAGGGTTAGGGAATAGGGTCTGCGCAGCCCCACCCTGTTCTGTTTTCTTACAATACCAATTTTCCCGCGAAGGCTGTCCGAAAATCCCGGCATGGACAATATTTTGGCGACGATGAGCTTCTAGGGTTTCGCCGAAGGTTGCTTTCCGTCACGCTAGTAGTGTGGTCGTTGCGTCGACTGCTTCAGCGGTACCTGTGGACGTCTCGCGCAGTCACACACGAACATTGTCCGGTTTATAGTTGGAGCAAGTTTTGGTTCGTTGTTATTTCCCCCTGGATGCTAGAGACCGAACAACCCGAGCTCGTGCAAAGTGGAAGTGCTTTCAAGTGAACCAGGGTGTCTGACATTGCAACAACCATAGGAAGTGGGAAAAGGCAGGAAGAGAGATATCGACATGTAGGATAGACAGGGTTGGGAAAATGACGATTGGCCATCGGTGATCGGCCCTGTGGGAACAGTGCCACGTCCTCTCGAGGACGCGTGGTCAACCGCTAAGGCATGCAAAACATGCGTACGCCCCCCCCCCCCCCCCNAAGGTTTCCGGCGCAGAAGTCACGGAAGGGCGAGGGAAAAGCGCGACGGGGCGACGAGCGCAAGACGGGGCTGGGGGAAGCGGGAGGCTTCCCCTCCCCTTCTTCGACGTGGAGAGCGTGGGGCTCAAGGGCAGGTGGGAGGAGATGGGGGGCAACTTTCTCCTGCGTCCCCCAGACGACCAGGCGCCGAAGGCCCTGGTTCACTTCCTCGGCGGAGCCTTCGTGGGCGCGGCACCGCACTTGACGTACAACTACCTGCTAAGCGGGCTCGCGGAGATGGGTTTCTTGGTGGTGGCCACGCCCTACCCGTTGGGTTTCGACTACTTGAACGTGAGCCAAGGGGGCTCGTCAAACGGGTTGATGCAATGCTACCCCCCCCTCACACACCTTTTTTCGGGCGCTTACGCGAGTTTGGTCAAGGCGCTTATTTGTATAGGCTATCGTCGTATCACACTTTTAAAGCCATATAATACGAGGTGTTTAGGATTATGTGACCATGTTGTATCTGCAGTATGTACTTCAATAGAGCATCAAATAAAGTTTTTGACAATATAACAAAGTCCTACTGTAGATACGTATCACAGCAGGTAGTTTAATACCCGTATAGTACGAGGTGTCAAAGTTTAAGTACAACTTCACGAAATCCTCTCCAATAAATAATATATAGGTTATACTATACAACACTAAATCCCCTATTCAAGTACCACATGCGATATACAACAGACCCCCCCCCCTCCCTGGATCTGACCCTAGTCCAGTTTCGAGCAGCGAGTAAATAGAGTGCGTGGGAACCTGCTCGCAGGGGTCCCCCCGTCCAATGCCGTCCTTATTCGTGTCATGTTGTTCCCCGACCCGCGTCTCGTGTGTCGACGTTTCGGGGTTTGTCCAGTCCCTTTTTGTAGCGATGACCATGCTTCCGGGTTCCGAGTTAGGCGTGGGTTGGAAAAGTCGGTCAGCGGCATGGGGCCACCCACCTTTCTTTCTGTTTGCGCTTCTATCCTTCCACATTTCTCTCTTTTTGGTTTTTGTACTTGCCTCATGCACACGCACCTCTGGTTGCTTTGTTTTTGTGAACAGCTGTATTCCCTGTAGTGGGAGAAGACGAAGGCTTCAAGGGGTGGTTCGGAAAACAGAGCTCCCCCCTCCCCCCCCCCACAGTACCCGCTAGACGTAGATGCCAAGCCAACAATGAACAAACCTGAGTATTGGTGGCGAAACTCATCCGTGGTACTCAACCATGTGCGGGGGGGATATAGCTCAGTTGGCTAGAGCGTTTGTCTCATAAGCAGAAGGTCGAGAGTTCGAGCCTCTCTATCCCCGCACTTTTTTTTGCCTCAAGTTCGCCTCGCATCCAGCCTCCTTTCTCGAGGTACGAACGGGTTGTGAATACTTCGAGCGACTGCAGAGGACACTATCGGAAAATATTCAAAATCTGCATGGTGACGAATCATGCCGCACAGCAAAAGTAGTACGTAACTAGTACAGTAGGGCATGGCGCACTCGAGGTCGCTCGATATTTGTTTTCAGGCTTTGTGTCGTTTGAAGGGGAGCAAGCCAAAGCGCACAGCTGTCGGTTCTGCCATGTCTAGCAGCTAGATATCTCGCTGTTTTTTTATTGATGGCCTTCCAAGAGTGTCCACGATGCATGACCAACAATGCAGCACGTAGTTTATGTTTGGCCCGACCCCCCCCACCCCCTGGAGGCTGAGAACGCCCACCACGGCGATGCAAGCTAACGTTCAACCACACCGTCGGATGGTTGCGAACAGCGCGGCCGCTCCCCCCCCCCCCCCCCCCCCCCCCCCCCCCCCCCCCCCCCCCCCCCCCCCCCCCCCCNATGCTTGCCCCCTTCTGACTCGAAACCTTGCAGCTCCATCCTCTCGAGGACGCGTGTTCAATGGTCAAACAAACTTAAGGCATGAAAAACATAAGTACCCCCCGCCCTCCGCCCATAGGTTTGCGACGGCATCTTGGACCGCTTCGAGCAGGCGGCGGTGCCCCTGGCCGCCCAGTACGGCGCCCTCCCCGTGGTGGGGATCGGCCACTCCTGCGGCGCGTTGCTGCAGCTGCTCATCACCTGCCTCTTCCCCGACACTCCGAGGGCGGCCAACGCCCTCATCTCGTTCAACAACAAGCCGGTGTCGGAGGCGGTGCCCGGCTTCGAGGAGCTCGTGCTGCCGCTCGTCATGCAGGTGCGTGCGCCTTGGCTTTGAGGTGGCATCGACCGTGCTAGTCGGCTCTGATCAATCAAGTGACGTCATACGGGGGCGCGCGCCTTCCGCGGGTGAGGTGGCATCGACGGCGTCAGTCGGCTGTGACCGATGAAAAGACGCACGGCGGACCGCCTTCCCGAAATTTTTCCTATTGATTAATCTGTGATATGGAGAGGGGGCTTCGTATCCCTAACCCTGGCCTTACCCCTAACCCCACCGTGTGCCCCCCGCTAAATAAAACCAAGGAAACATTAATTCCACTACTGAAGAAGCCAGGAAGGCCGAGGCGTATGCCAATATTCTGCTTATCATCATTTTTATTATCATAAACGCCATCTGTCACGCATTGAATAGCAGCTTTCTTGTCGCCTTTTTTTTCTTGGCTACTGTGTTGACTTTTTTTTGGTAAAACTTGCAGCGGTTACAATTGCCGTCCACAACCGGCCAGTCAAGCCATGGTGGATGAACCAGTCAAGCATGCCATGAGTCTGAAAAGCCGCGAAACGAATCGTTTCACGATGCAGGTGCTCAAGGAGGGAGGTGGGCAGTCGACGCTGTTCTCAACGCTTGAGATGCTCCGGGAGACGGTCGACAACCTCGTAGACGGGCAAGTGCTGGGGGTGTAGACCGTTGTGGCTGGCATTGTTCTTGTGATCACCCACCTCGCGTTCCCTGCAAGACAGATGCATGCTTGTATATAGTTCTATAAGAGACAGGACACCGTCCGCACCTCCTCCCATTGGAGTTCATGATGATCTATCCCTCGCTTCCGTGAAACGCCCGGAGGGTACACGTGTGGCCTCGGTGTGAGCACGCGTAGTCTCATTCGTGTTTGGTTAGCCTGTTGTCGGCGGATGGACGACCCGGCTTTTGGGCTGAAACTGAGCACATTCAACACCTAAAAAGTGTTGGCGCGGTCCTGTTGTTGTTTAAGCCACACTTCACTCAAAACCATTTTTTTTTTTCGATGATACCATGTTTTGCTACACGGGGATGAGCGATGAGTTTACCGCACATTATACAGCGCACCTCTATCCCGCGTAGCTGCTGCTGCTTCTACGGCAGTGTTGCTTGTTACGAGCAACTGAAGGATAACCCACGGGCATGTTTTCCCTTGTTTTGTGCCCCAGTGTCAAGCCATTGGGATCCCATGAACCTGTAGCTAAACAGAGTTGAGCTCGAGGGTGTTATCCTGTTGGGAACTGTTTGTTCCACCCGCATCGTTCCCGTGGGGCGAGCGTTATTAGGCAGGCCCGGCGCTATGACCAATGTTTCCCACCTGTGTATATTAGTCTTGTGCGGAATGTTGAGCTGTTTAGGCGGCCTTCTTTGTGGTCTGACCCGTGCCCGGGCGTCTGTGTCTTGCCGTGCGCCACACTCCATCGGGCGTGCAGAGTGGCCGAGTCGCGGTTTGCTCCGGCGGTGCTCGAGAACGAGGTGGTGCCCCTAGTGCGGCAAGTGCTGCAGATCACCGACCAGCTTCCGGCCCTACTGCAGTCCGTGAGTTTGTTGTTGTTGTTGTTGTTGTTGTTGTTGTTGTTGTTGTTGTTGTTGTTGTTGTTGTTGTTGTTGTTGTTGTTGTTGTTGTTGTTGTTGTTGGCGGCGGTGGCGTTGAAGTGGTTGTTGTTGTTGATGTTGTTGACGTGGTCGTCATCGCCGTAGATATGCTTATCCTGTGTCTGGTTGCAAGGAGGCGCGTTGGTGCTATGTGTGCTGATGCTCTTGGCCTCCCATACACATCAGTGCTGTTGCTCTTGGCTTCCTATGATACTACGGATCCACATCTATTCGTACAAGCTGCGCTGGCGCCCAACTCTGCAAATTCCGAGGGTCCTTGTGGCGCATTTTCAAACCCGATTTTATGCAACATGGCAAAAATGATGGCGACAGATCGCCGACGGGGCGCGGGAGTTCACGCCTACGCCGGAGGAGACTCGCGATGTGGTGTCCAAGATGTACCGCGCGAGGCGGACGATCATGATACGGTTCGAGAATGACTCTCTCGACGAGAGCGAGCGCATGAAAGACGTCATCCAGGAGGGGAAGACCCTGCTCCGAATGCGGGTAAGCAGTCGCATCGTGTGCGTGTGAATGCGCTTTGCAGCTATTACCGTCGATCTCTGCGGACGCACACGACGTAATTTCCTTAGGAAACAAGCCACGGCGAATTTCAGTGGAAGGTCGACCCTGAACGGCAGGGAGAGGCGTGCTTATTTTGCCGTTTCTCATGCGGGCACCAGAAAGTGCGGTTTTTGTACAACCGCTGTGCCTCGAATCTACCTCTTCCACCAAAAAGACTGCTCCTTTGTGAGAGTCGGACGAGTATGAGTGGGTACCCGAGCTTTCAACTTGAATTTCTTCTATGATGTAGTTATGACCTATCCCGTGGGGAGATTTCTATGCGTGACTGAGAATGATTGTTGAATTGCGGTCGAAGTCTGGTTAAAAATTCGTCCGCTCGTTGTTGACAAAATCAACGGCGAATTTCCTAATAAAATCAACGCCTACCGTACCCCTAGCCTTTTTTGGTATTTTTTTCCGTACAGGACTTCTTTATTTGAGCCCCTGCCGTCGGCCACAGCGATGATGGCCGACGAACAAGTACGCAGCAATAACTGGACCACCCTTACTCCCTAGGTCTAGCAAACTTCCCTCACTCAATGCCCTTCTCGCCATCCAAGCCTCCCTTGTCCCTTCTCCTGCGGTTCTTCGCACACACGCGTGATCCCAAAGAAGTATATATCAACGACGGAAGTTCCCATGGTCACCTCCCTGTCGTCGTCGTCCTCGTTTTTCCCACCAACAAACACCACATAACGACGACATTGACAGCGGCCGTTGGTAGACATGGAGCTGCGGTACGAGGTCATCAAGGGCAACCACATCACCCCGCTAACGCAGAACGTCTTCCTCAAGACCCCCGTGGACTCCATCGACCCCCTCTTCGGAGTGAGGCAGGGCATGAAGAAGGAGTTCCTCAAGACGGTGAACCACCTGGGGCAGATCCTCGTGGACTGGCTCGAGGAGTCGGCGCCGCCGTTGCCGCCCAGTAGCGGTGGTGGCGGCGGCGGTAGTGGAGGCATTCCTGCGGGTGTAGGGGAGATGCCTTCGACCGCAGCGAGTGGGCGGATGTGACGTACAAGGCAATGACGCACTACCGATAGTTATACATGGGCAACAGAGAAAGAGAATTCGTGCTGATTGTTTTTCCCCCTCAACGTTTGTTAAGTTTCGCTCTCCTGCCTCGGGGAGTTAGTTCTAGTTAGACGCCGCTCCGTGCTAAACGCCAAGTTGGCGTAGTCAAACCGTTGATCTGTTACGTACGTACCACATGTGGATGTTGAAGGTCGTGGTAAACATTCGTGCACTGAATCATTCATTATCAACGGAAATAGCAACGGCAGCAGCAAGCAAATAGTTATGATGTTATTACGTCGGTATGAACAGCACTCTCGTGTTGGTCTTTCATATTTTTCGGACGACGAGCCTCGTCATCCTCCCGCGCGTGCATGTGATTTGTTTCGTGGTGGAGCGGCGAGACTGCGGACAAAGAAAAGACACTCGGCGATGGCAGCCACAGGAGGAGCAATCCAAGCAAGTAGAGAAGTAATTACATGCATCCGCCGGATTGTTTGCCGGGTGGATGCTAGTGCAAGAAACGTTTTTTCCCATTTTTTTGTTTAGGGGGCCCTGGCCCCTGCGACACGCGCCCCTCCGCGAGAAGCCTGTGCATTAAAACGCGTACGTGGGGTGCACATGGTAACCACAGGAATCCAAGCAACAACCGCTGGCTCGCAAGATATTGCTGTCTACGATGGTGACGTGTAGCCAGTCCACCGTAGGGTCTACAACAGCTCGAAACAGTCGCCAGAGCAGCCGCTCAAGCACGGAGCTGAGCAGAGCGAGACGAGAGATCGAAAAGTTCATAAAATAAGCGGTCTGAAGCAGGAACCCCTACTGCAAAAAATTGGAGGCGTGTATAAGCGACAGATTGTCCGCCAAAACACCTACACTTTACCGGGTGAAGGAACGGGAAACCAACAGACAACCAAGACAATCACGTCCAAGGTAATGTAACGTCGATGGTTATTATCGTAGGAAGAATACGACTTTGTGGAAGCGTCGGAGCGACGGGTTTTCGCCCAGAGCACGCCACCGGAGGACGAAAAGTGAAACCAAAGGACGGTGAATTGCAAATGGTGTAAACAGCAGCTGCTACCGACTGTTGACGACTGGACTACCCTCTCCTTCCAACCTATGCACTGACGCTCGATTTTTCCTAGCGACAAACGCCTGCTTCTCGGACGAAAAGTCCGGTCATTGCCTTACTCATACCCACGACGAGAAATCAACACTGAAAGGAGGCGCCACGGTAGGGAGGAGGGAGAATCACACCCCACCCCCGTCCCGCGCGTTTCCGTCCTCACACCACCTTCGCGCTTTCGAGTTCCTACAATCGGTATTGGGAACAAGGCATCAATACACCTCACCAATACATGAGAAAAAGAACTGTCGGCAAGCTCTCCATCGCAGTTCGTTTCCTTCGTGTCCATACGGATTTGTCCCTAACAACAATGTCCTTTGCTCACAACCCGTTTCCTAGGGGCAACTTGCACCACAGGCGCTGCGTCTTCGTTCCCGTCTATTCCCTGCGAAAAAAGGCCACACTCAGCTATTCCGGCGGGAATGCTGGGAACATGTACAAGCATCCTCCAGCGAAAATCATGCGAAGAGGCGCACCCAAACGCTTTGGTCATGTTGGGGGAACATCACCACCCTCGCATGAACCAACGAAAACAACGCCGCCATGAAACAAACACCAAAAATAGCGAAGCTTAAGCATAGGCACCCACCAACCTTTCTTCGTACCATCGTTTCCTCGTGCTTAGTGCCATGCTTGGTTGGTCGTCTCCGTCCCGTCCCATCTATTTGAAGGCTTTCCACGCCAAGCTTCCAACAACAAAGTGCAAGCACAACCTGCAAGCGCCTTCTCGTCAGTCTGCAGCCTCGTCCAACACCACGAGAACAGTCTGATCCCTTGCCCATCCCACGCCTACTTCACCACCACAGAAAAAAACTGTTGGAATGAAAACCCTGGATTGGGTGTATCCCTGGCAATGGCCACTGCAGCAACAGTGTGCAGAGGCACACACTTGTGTTGTAGACAAAATAAGATGCATTGACTTGGCGCTTAGTTTGCCGAAGGTAGGAAGAAAGAGGGAGGGTCCTGAGATTCGCAAGAGTCCCGCAGGCCCTTGAAGAGGCCAAGGGCCTTGGTAGATGTAGGAAGAAGGGAAGAGGGAGAAAGTCTAAGAGAGTGGGGGCGAGCAAAACGGGGACGAGCCATCAATCCGCATGCCAAAGAAAGACACACACGGGCTATGGCCACGTACCGATCACGGTATCAGGCGGTTAATCCGACCTCAAGCAACGTTACAAGAATATCCTACAGGACAATGGTCCGATTACTGAATCAATGTTCCGAAGACGATCATACTCCTTGGGTGGTTTCCAAAGTACTGTTGCTTACAACAGACTAGCTACGGACATTTTCCAACACCCCCCCCGCAATGGAAGTCACACAAAGGACTGTACGGAGTTACAAATTGAATTGGAAGAAATTTACCCAGCCGAAAAGACTTCACACAGAAGTTTAAACCACGAATGAACGACGCAGCGCGTGCTTGCTGTGAATGCTCTTGCTCGCGAGAGCTGGCGCATCATGTCTATGCCGCCATGAACGAAGACGCCCCCTCTATCCGCGTCAGTCTACAACAGCCACAGTTTTAACGGGGGTGCCTTTTGATGAATTGACTGACGTCGTGCCACGGGGATGAGTTCATGCGATCTCCGGTTGTCCAGTCCCCCGCCAGGTCAAGCGAGGGGAGGAGGCGTTATCCTCCCGTCCGTTCCCGACGAAAAAGGCCGGCCTCCTGTCAAGGAAGGCCGAACATCCCGCGCCACATCACCGCCGCTCTCCTCCCTTGTGCCACGTTTGCAGCCCCTGCAGCTTGCGGTACACCGCGGACAGTCCCGTCACCTCCGCGGCGTCCTGGCGAGCAAAGAAGGTCCGTACGGATATTCGACTTGCTGTACACACACCCACGGGGAAGATTACTTGTCGGGATGAAGAACGGAGAGTCGGGCACGTTTGCACCGGAATGACAGGCAAAGTGGCACAGAAGAAGCCACCATTTTATGAAACAAGTACATACGTATTTTTTTCTTTGCATGATGCTCGTTCTTGAAGTCACTCTGGAGGGTAACCCAAGATCGATCACGTAGGGCTTTGAATACAGTGTTGTAGGTGTCCCGATATAGCGCCGGTTGAATAGTGCCGACGTACCGACCACTTGTGTGGGCACAAGTGTCCACTCCTATACTAAAACCGATGTATCCCTGTTCTGAATAGTGCTGCTGTCCGGAATAGTGCCTGTCAAACCTCTGGGCATATACCAGCACTATATCGGGACACCTACTGTACATGGACTCTCAACTGAGCACAACCACTTGTTTTTCCGGTCTAGTTCTTAACCGTCGATCTTCTGGAGCCCTTGATCTCGTACAGGAGTACCCCCAAGTGCTTAAGAAGCCGTGTGTTCTTATTCACCACATGCGCGCGCGTGGGATCAGGTGAAAGCGTAAATAGCTTGGTATCTCGCCTGGGGTCTGTCTGTCACTGTCACAACCGTAGACCCCACGGCGTCCTGTCGCAGGCACCACACTGCTGTATTTCTGTCACGTACGCTTTTGGAAGAAAATAGTATGTATTGAATCAAGAAAGACGGTATTTCCACTCGGCCGTAACCCTTCGTGTAAACGTAAAAAAAAAAAAACGGAAGACAGCTTTCAAGTGTGTCCCCCACGTTCGTGTGAACGTTCGCATCGTGACACAGATGTAACGTGGCGGAATGGGACACGTAGACAGATAAAACTTGGAGCTCATCAACGCACCTGGTAGGCCTTCTCCGCCATGACATGCTTGTAGCCCGCGTCCGTGCCCTGCTTGAACTCGCTCTCCGGGCTCGACATGGATTTGGAGTACATCCTGATAAACCACGTTCGTCCGTCCGCGATTGGTCGGAGGGCCAAACAAAACGAAAAAAAAAAAAAAAGTACGGCGATCAAAACATACAATGGTCGGCATCAAAAACGAATCGCGTTCTGCGACAGACGGTAATATCCAACTATTCGGCACCAAAACGGAGTCTCGTTTCATGTCAGGTCAGGCGAACAACATCGATCGCGATGACGCAGTTTCCTCCGCAGTTGTATCAAATGTACCGGCTGGCTAGATGTCAATCCCGCCGGGAGCAACGACCGGGACACGACCATGCAGCGTAGTCACACCCGCAGAGTTGGGCAGAACTAGGGGAGCTGCTGACAAGAGTGCAGTCATGCTCAAGAGTTGGAGAGCAACACTAACAATAGTGGAACGAAGTTGGAGAGTAGTGAGTGCCGTGGCCTAACACGTGAAACACCCATGCCATCACGCGAACAAGAGAACAAGAGATGTCTCTTGGGTATGAATAGAAACGAGCAATGCACGAGTTGCAAGGCAGCACGCCGCACACAGATGCAGCACAAAACGAATCAACCTGTCGCGTTTCCGAAATAAAACCATGTCCTGCAAATTTCGCGTTTCCGTATGAACACATCAACACCGTAATATCCTGCTGATTGTCGTGTTTCGTATGGGGTACAAGATTGAGCACAAATCGCCCACAAAGATCTCCTCGTCCAAACTGCTGCTATCACCCCGAAACGCAAACATGTTTTAGACCAAAGCTATGTACCAAGCCAGCGCCGGAGGCGTCTCCAAAGACTAAAAACTAGCTTACCCGGCGGCCGCCGACAGGTAGGGGAGGTGCTCCTTGAGCTTGTCGTCCCCCATGCCGAAGAGCACGGGGTATATGTACTCCGTCACGACGTCGGGAAGATTGGTGTACTCTACCACTGCGCCGTTCCCACCCTCTTCGAGCTGGTCCACGGCGGCCTGCGGGGGCCATCGAATGCCGAGGGTGGAGGGTGGGGGGGGTCAGTTTTATTCTGTGCGTGATGGTTGGACGACAGACCCGCATCCTTGAGCAAGAAAGGAAGAACGACAGACGTTTTATTTTTCGGACATCCGGCGGATCGTGCGACAGTTGGGACGACTTGAAAGAAGAAATGACATGCGAAGGTTTCGCGAATGTCATATTTGTTCTCCCGTGTTTTAATCAAAGCCTCGCGTGGAGACTACCCATGGGCACCAAAGCCATGGATGCCAAAGCCGGGTCGTTGAGACGCAAAAACAACAGCCCGGGGAGACACAAACGCGTCCGGCGTGGGTCGCTTGCCAGCAAATAGCTTACGGCAGCACTGATGCGTCCCGCGCAGCATCCAACTTTTGTAGTGGTGTATATTGCCCGGCTACGCAACATTAGGGAATTGATTTCGACATGGGCGGAAATGCAGACTACAAGCGGCACAGGCTACCCAACGCGACACATCACGCTCTTCTACTGCGTGCCCTCGCATCAGCTACTCCAAACTGTAGCACTCCGGAGGCAAGGCATACCCATCAACCGCTTGTACCGGACTCGTGCACCGGACATGGTAACTAACATCAGCAGCGAGGAATCAAGTGTTCATCTAGTTTGTAGGCGGAGAAGCGGATCTTAGAGATAAAAAAAAAGCCAGGACTGCCAAGACGAACACACCCACTGCACAGCTACATGCGGTCATGGACAACGGACGGTTGTTCTTGTTGTTCTTGTTGTTGTTGTCTTCAAACTACAAAACCGCTCCGATGCCTCTGCCTCGTACTGTCTGTACTGATCTACCACTTGATGCGGTCGATTCCCGGGGTCGCAGGCTAACTTACCCTGAATAAATGGTGCTGTTTTTAACCGTTATATCTATTTACCTGGCATAGCGTCCTGAGGCGGTCAGCACAGATTTCTTCCTTCGGTTTCCCCTTCATATCTGACGGCGGCTTAGACATGAGGCAGGGGGACATGGGCGGTCTCCCCGACCTACCCTCCGGCTTGTCTGGGTCGCGGTTCGCTGAGCGAGAGAGAGAAGGAGGGAAAGGGAGGGAGACGGAGCGAGAGGGGGGGGGGNGGGGGGGGGGGGGGGGGGGGGGGGGGGGGGGGAGTGATCCACGTCAGAACATCCGTACACTTGCTCGACTCGTGGTATACTGAGTAAGGGTACCAACCGAGAGAGAGAGAGAGAGAGGAGAGAGAGAGGGGGGGGGAGACAGACAGACAGACAGACAGACAGGGACAGGGACAGTGATCCACACCAAAACAGCCACACACTTGCGTGACTTCGTGGTTTACCAAGCAGGGTAACAAGCGTAACAAGCGGCACGGGGAGACGACGGAAGCAGGTCGCGGCCGAACAGGCATCATTCACTGACCTGCTGAGCGGGAAAAATGGGGAAATCGGGAGGAAGGGGGGGAGGAACAACAAGAGACACGAAGGGTCGCTACAATGCACATGAACAGGAGGTACCGCGGTCCCAAGCAAGTGCCATAACCCATTCTGGAAGCGTGAAACCCGCACGGGTGTCTGTTCGTGTTGCAGGCGCGGCGGAAATGCTGGTACATGCATATGTGCGAAGAGGGATCGTGCTCGAAGGACAGACGTTGGGGCGACGCCACCTTGTCAACGGTCGCCTCCACGTCACCCTCCCCTTTCATGGAAACCTCGTTCTTTACTAACCAAGTGGAACACTTCAAAAAGGTAACCGGGCTAACCGTGAGTCCAGCCATTTGTTCAACATAATCAGTGTGTGTTGGCACGGGTGTTCTACGTCCGCCATACAATCGGTTTCTCTGTTTATGGTTCCACCAGACACCAGGGTTTAGTGGGTTGTGGGGATGAACACGGAGTTGTCCTTCCTACCAACATCAGACCGAACAGTATCCACACGAACACCAACTTGAAATAAGAGAGGGGCTTGTCCTCGTCGGACTTTTGGGAGACGGGACATATGTTTCAAAAACGCACCCCCGAAGCAGTTAGAGCCGCGCGCGGAAGTAGCCCCTTACCGTCCATCTCCGGGGCGAAACGCTGTTGTACAACAGAAACACAGAAAGCCTTCGTGTTGTTGTTGGATATTGGCGGTCTCGTGGAACAGTCCACGGTATCTCGTGGTACATTCCACGGTATCTCGTGGTACATTCCGCGGGACGCGCAGCACCAAGCACGAGGCCATATTCCGCAGAGCCATGCCCGCTTCATCCCAACCTTCTCATCCCCCCACGGCAACACCTCTTGGCTATTAGTGTGGCTGGTTTCGATGAAACCTTAGAAACGTGTCCATCCCGCACGGACTTTCAGACTACAGCTAATGCGTCCTACCTGTCACCCATCACACCGAACCAACACAACTTTTCCACCACCAACAGCTTCATTTGATAAAACTTTACGATCGTCCGCCACAACGAGCCCCCCGCCCGCCCGTTCACTGCCACCTGTCATGTTGTTGTTGTTGTTGTTGTTGTTCATGTCATGCTCAGCGGCGTCGAAGTCAAAGCCCTTGTAGAACCGCTCACGCTTGCCATAGGCGCCCTGATACACAAGACGAAGGGAAAGAAGGAAAAAGAAAAAAAAGTCGTACCGCACACTTCCGACAGTCGTTCAAATACGCACATATTGTAGTCTGGGCAGGCTTCCAAGTCTTCGGAGAAGCAGCGTTGGAGCCATGCGTGTGGAAGTTGCGCCGCGAGCACGTGCAGGAACACCAGCGCCGAAGGCTGAAGTTGAGGGAACGCCAGAACACTAACAACACAAGTAGGGTGCTAACGCCGCTCGTCAGCATCCCTGTTGCTTGGGTAGATAGCCTTCTGACGCTCCCTTAGCTGCAGCCTGTAGCGCTGCTGGTTCCGCAAGTGCGGCCTCGAGCTCGCGGCGCAACTCCCCCACGCATGAGCCCATCGCTCCTTCTCCGGACGACTCACAAAGCCTTGCCAGGCGATATCACGGCCTTCGAAAGTATGGTCGATGCAAGCGGCCAGAACACCCACGGAACGCCCGCGCCAACACTTGAGGACCTGCGAGTTACGAGCTTCAGGTCCAACAACATAGAAACTGAAACAAATTGACCACAAAAACAGGTGCTCAGATAAGAATCCTACACTAAAACCTGGTACACATGTTGCAGTTGGGTTATAACCACTCACAACAGCACACAACAAACAAGCCTCCTGGGCAAAATGAGAGGTTTTTGTCGTTAGTGCCGGAGCATTGCAAAGGACAGACACAGCAGACATTCGACCCTCCTTGGAAAAATACGCACAACGTCGCGTACGGCTGTGCCGGGTCGTACCCACCTCTAGCGAGAATCATCTAGAAGAGGGAACAGAAAGGTCTTCGCTCCATCTTTGCGGTCGTACGAGCAAAGATCACTGCGTGTTTCCCCCCTCTCCCCCAAGCTCCCCATCCTCACTCGGCAACGTTAACTAACACGTGATGCAGCAGTAGAAACGGATACGGTTTAAGAGAGGGCATCTACGAGAAAGTGTGGATTTACGAATACCAGAGATGACAGTGGCTTGACGCGGTCACGAGAAACACATGTAATACATGCATACAACACTGTACGGGTTCGAGCAAACCGTGTTGAATAGTGTGTTTTGTCACCCTTTTCCTAAGCCATAGCCGCCTCTGGACAGCCTTCCCGAGAAGCATACAAAAAAATTATGAAACAGACAGGAGGTTTGTATCCCTATCCCTATCCCTAACCCGTACAACCCATAACGGAAACCACGCCTGAAATCCTGGTGAAGGCTCTGCTGTCCCTACCTTGAGGTTGCTGACCATAACCTCAACGGGGTCTCGGAAGAGATAAACCCATCCCACCTCGGGGTAGGCCTTCATCATCTGGAGCAACAGCGAGAGAGGAATCAATACACAAAACCGGAAGGTAAATATGCAGAAAGAATGATCGACAGAGGAAAAGACAAGCAGGGGGGGGGGGG